TTGCACGGATTTTGCCTATCCACCATGCCACAGGCCTCCGCCTGAAGCCATGAATCTCACAGGCTCTGGCTTGAATGGGGAAAGGGAGGTAAAAGAGAATTTAGAATTTAGTGTCTTAAATTATGATCAGGGTGATTTAAAAGTACAAGATCAGGCTGCCCAAAGAGGAGATGTTTGCAGTCCTTGATCCTGTGCCAGTGGGGAGGGAACCCTCCCTGGTTGCCCCGGGCCATCGCAGAGGCAGAAACTGGCCAGGGCAGCTGACAGGGCCGGAGAAGGGCCTTCCCAGGGACTATAAGAACCAAAAGCCTTGCCTCTTTCCGATACAAGTAGGTCTGAGAGATTGGTGTGCAGGGATGGCCACAGCACATGTTCAGTTCTATTACGAAAATAAATTCATCAAGGGCAGGGATGTCTGCCCTTTTGCCTCCTGCTTAGAACCATGTCTATCTCATGGCAGGCACACCATAAAAATATGTTGAAGGGAGAGTGAATACACTTGATTCCCAAAACCACTTAGTACCTGCTCCCTGCCTGGTCGGGGCACATTGTCCCTCTCCTACCTATGCCCTCACTGTCTCTGCCCCACTAGAGGGAGAACTTGTTGGAGGACCTACCACTTCAGAGTGACTGACATGGAAACCAGTATATTTGAGCAGATGGGGTCAACAGGCTCTCACAACAAGGACATGAGTTCTACCAGCTCTACAAAGAGAGAGATTAAAAGAACCATAAAGCAACCTTCATCAGCCACAGGCATAGTTTGGTTTCTCCGGTTTGTTCCGAAACCACGGGCCATTCAGTCCCTGCAAATCATTGCAGGAACCTGTGCGTTCACAGCCTGGCTCCCGGCTCTCAAGGGTTAGTGGCAGGCAGGCAGCAAAACAAGACTCCTTCCTGTAACCAAATAACCCTGAGATGATGCTCAGGGGATGAATAATGCACACAGGAGCCAGGGAAACGGCAGGTGGCCCCTGTCTGCCCGTACACATGGGTGAGGTGGGTGAGGGAGCAGGGACGAGACAGGAGATGTTCTCAGAGACATGAATTTTTAAAATAGAAACACCCGGGGCTTTGCTAGAAGGCTTTGTAACCATGATCTCCCAGATCGCTCTAATAAGCCCGAGCAAGAAGGTTCGATTGTCCATGACATCTCACGTTTCAAGGTTCTTTTGCTCCCATACTTCCCATGATTCCCTGGAGCAAGGCCTCCCAGGCCTTGGATTTGCAACCACAGGCTTGTCCAATGTTTCTTGTTTTAGCCAAACAACCTGCAAAGTGCAAGTCTCAGCAGCCTGGTGGTTGCCCTGTTAAAAGGAGAAAACCATACCCCTTGCAGGCTTGTCCTCTTGCTCACGGCACATACTAAATATCGACATGCCAGGGAAAGGTAGCACCCTCAAGCTTTCCTGGAACCAAAGGGACAGGAAATGAGACCCACTCAGTCTTAGGCGGCTCAAATGCCAGGTTGCAAGTGCTCTGCACACCTGTTTCCATTAAATCCCACATAATGCATTGGCCCTGGATAACCTTTGTCCCTCAGCCCATTTACCTTGGAAGCAAGAAGGTTAAACTTGGAAGAACCTTTTTCTACTGTAACTGGGGAACTGAGGTTTGATTTTCAAACCAAGCCATCTTATCTTCATTTTAAATTGTCTAGGTAGCACCTGAAAGCCTTTCTTATTCATTTTTTAATGTCATATTTTCAAATTGAGGTTTTTCTTTCAAAACCATTCTTCTATTAGCTAGCATAAGTCCTGTAATCTGTATGTTTTATTTTCAACTGAGGCCCATTGTGAGTCTGAACACTCACAGGAGGGGAAGGAGGGCCCTGTTACGAAATAAAAGGAGCCTAAGGCTCATTCCAGCTAGGCTCATGTTAGGTGATTATATATTTTGCAAATCTATAAAGACTGTAGACAAGAAAGAACAGCTGGCTATGAGAATGGAATAAATAACTCAGAAGAGGTATAAATGAGAAGTTCTGGCCATGTAACCTGTGTTCATATGGCAAGACGGGGTCCTGAATGTCCCATAGGCAGTCTCTCCAGGCCCCTGATTGGGCCCTTGGGAGCACAAGGCTGGCGTCCACATGGGCTCCCTGAGGGCCAACCCAGGAGGGGACAGTGCAGAGTTTGGGGGAGAGCTCAAACCTAAATGTCCTGTCCATGCCACCCCAGCAGCCATGGAACAGCCACTCCCATTCGACCTCGCCACACCCACACTGTCCTGTTTCTCTGCTGAGATTTTCCATTTTTATTTGCTTCAAGCATTTTTTAATTTCTTGTCAAAGCCCTTTTATGTTGGCTACTTTAACACCCTTGTCAGAGGATCACAGCATCTGTGTCATTCTGACATTGTCACTACCGATTGTGCTTTTTCATTTCAGTTAGGGTTTTCCTGGTTCTTGGTTTGATGAGTGACTGTCCATTGTATCCTGGACATTTGGGGTATTACGTTAGAGTCTCTGGTTCTTATTAGAGTTATTTATTTTAGCGACCATCCTCTGACACAGTGGCACATGGGTAATCAGGTGAGTAGGGAAGAACAGAAAAGCAATTTAACCTAATTTACAACACATGCCAGGTGATTCATGGCCTTAGAGGAAATACCTGCTCCTTCAGTTAGGCAGGTGTTTATTGAGCACGTGGCATAGATGTGGGCATAGAAATTTGTTGCACTGGGGGCAGCAGGCAGCCTGGTAGTCTGAGCAGGACAGGAGGTCTCCTCCTGGACCCAGGTGAGCAGGAAGAGAGAGCTAGAATGAGGACTGCCATACACTACCAGACAGCAGTGTGCCCAGTCAGGGGGACTGTACCTGAGAGAGACCCACACCAGAGGTCCCTGAAGGCCCATGAAGAAGTCCCACAATGAACAGTGGTCGTAAGCAACTCTCAGGAAGCTCAGAACTGCCCTGTCCACCTTCCTCCCTCCCCAGCCTCACCTCCAGGAGCCAGAAGCTGAGGTTAACTGGGAAGGCAGGGTGGTGGGGGGGCGGGTAGTTGCGCAGGGGACAGGAGAGCTCAGCAGGGAGGGTAGGAACATCCCTCCAGCCCAGTTGGGAAAGAGGTTTGAAGTAACTGGAGTCTCGACCATCACATGGACAGATGGGGAATTGAAGTTAGTGCCTTGAGACCGCTGTTACTTAAAGTGGCAGCAGACGGACACATGGTCACTTCTGGGTAGGAGAACAGCAGGGTAGGGGCATGGGCTGATGCAATGCCAGCAGCATCCTGGTTCTTGTGCCAGCAGGGGCATCCCTGGGTATCACAGGGTGGTTATGGACTGAGCATCTACGATTTGTTTTCCCTATGTGAAATTTTATGTTTAAAAAGTTTTTTAAAATAAAATGACGACAGACCTTTTTACTGCCTATGTGTGAATACATGGGCTGACTTGAGTTTTATCAGGGGTGGGAAAAGACAGAGCCTGAACAGACTCCGAGAGACAACTGAAGTCACAAATATGTAGCTTTTGTGATTATATCCCAACAGGTCCACAAGTTCAATGGAATAACTTCTTGTTCATAGGTTAAGTCACTGGCGTGCCAGATTTAGCCGAAAAACAATGAAACATTTTTTTAGTGTATGTCCTATCCAATATTCGAGACATACACTAAAAAAATTATTTGTTGTTTATCTGAAGTCCAGATGTAACCAGATGGCCGTCCAACCACAAGATAAATGCTTGTGATAAATCTAGTGCTACAAGAAGGGCCTCTCCCTTCAGGCACCTTGGGACCTGGACAGACATTACGATGATAGAAAGAGGGGTTCAGGGCCAGGCCTCCAGCCACACAGCTAAGGCTGCTTAAATCACTCTTTAGGGCCATGGGGACCTAGAGCAGAATAAATAGCTTTGGAAAAATCAGAAATGGGTCTTCCTTGCATGAGAATATAGTGAAATGAAATTTATAGCTGTTACCTAACCAATGTGCACCATTCTAGAAAACAAGACTTAGGGAAGGAGGGCACAGAGATTTGTCCTGCCTACATCTCAGCATTCCTCAGCACCCAGGTCTCTCATCATGGGCTTGCCCAGGGAGATGTACAGGTAATGGTTTCAGATCACAAAGCAAAAAGCACTGGATGCCTCTCCAAGGCCTTTCCAGAGCATTCTATGACTCTACATGTAGTACCACGCATGCAGTCAGGAAAGAAGGATCGTCCTGGTAGGGTTTATTTCACCAGTTCAAGGTAAAGTCTTCATGTTCATAAGGTAACTCTAAAGAACACACTTGAAATGTCTCCACAAAACTAGAGAGTCTCTACCTAACAGTCACCTATACCACACGCAACGGCTCAGATGACAAGTCATCTTTCCTACAGAGGCTCTAGACAAACTAGGAGGTAGTTGGGTCCCAGTTTGGCCAGCAACCCTCCAAAGCTGTCAAGATCCACTTGGCAGGGGGAGCAGATGGATGACTCCATGCCTTGGGCCCTGGAGTGGCCAGGCAGCAGGTGGCCAGGAGCTGGGCATGAAGGAGGACCAGGCTGGGGCTAACAGTCCAGGCCCCTCTGGTCGTACCCAGGAGCCCGAGAGCCGTGGTTTGCCAACCCCTGGACCAACCAAGAGAAGGCTGCCCGTGAGGACAGGGCTCTGGGAAGTTGCAGTTAAGATGTCAGGAAACCCAAATTGAGCATCCTCTCATCTAAGCAGCCATTCACCCTGGCTACGGAACACCACTACTAGCTTGCATGTCCACACAAGAGCCTGGAGAGTTATACTTTGTTGGTATATTCTGTCCGGGAACCACTGTGGTATCTCTTTTGAGTGAAGTGGGGCAAAAGAAGTGGACTATGTACAAGCTGGGGCTCCTGACCCCAGGGCTGGAAAGTCTGGCTGCTCTGAGCTTCCTTTCTCCTGACGGTGCTGTGAGAGTCACAGCCACACTGGTGGCCTGGCCCAGAGAGCTGCCCGTCACCACGGTGGGCTTGGCTGACTCACAAAGGCGTGTTTGTCCCTGCGGGCAGAGGAGGAAGGTTCCTTTTCCTCCGCCTCTAGGAAACCAGACACATTCCTGACTTGGACGAGGGAGCAGCCTCCTTCACAGTGACTCCCTTCATGTCATCGGGCATCTGCCCATCGGCACGCCATACGTTCAGGTCCCCAAAGACGCCTGTCTCAATCATCTCCTCCTGCCAGGGAATGGAGCAGTTGCCAGTGGCAAATTCCTGGAAGAATTCTGTATCCGCTTTGTCGAAGACCACACCTCTGACTGTGGAAAAGGCCCCTACGTCCTGGATGTTCTTTGCATAGACAGTTTTGGAGTCTGGGATGAATGGGGGTATCAGCATTCCTGTCAGAAGACAGAACACACAGAGCATGAGACAGGCATCTGCCGAGAATCTGCTCTGCCTCAGTCTCACTGCTGCCCTTCCCAGAGTATCCCGACCGCTAACAAACAGCACATCCGAGAGGGTCCTGGGCATCCCCCACAGAGCCTTGTCACGAAGGACAGCGTGTTCTCTCCCCTCACCATCTCCTCCCCTCGTGCTGCCGCACACACCCTCTCTGCGGACCCCACACCCACGCTCTAGTGCCAGTCTCCCCGCACGTTGCTGTCTGCAGATGGGACACCTAGAACCCAACACGCCCAGAGCTGAGCCCCGCATCTTCTTTCCAAAGCAAGCTTTTCTTCCTAACCTGTGATTATCCAGTCACCAGATCCAGAACTTCAGTCACCCAGGACCCCCACCGAGATTAACCCTTCCTTCTTCTCGCCTCTCGCTTTGTCTCCCCTCTCAGCACTTGGACCCTGGGCTGCCACACCATTGCAGCATCCTCAGGACTAACATCCTAGCTCTAGTGCCTCCTGGTTCTGATCTCTCAGAGCTGCCTGACCTCACCCCATTCTGGACCAGTCTTGACAACACTCCCTAGCAGAGCCCACCTTTAGATCAACTGGGAGCTGCCTCTGTTCTGACCCTTCCTTGAAAAAATAACTTTTCTTATTGGGCCATCTACTACATACAGCTCTGTCACCTTGGGGCCCTTGCCATCTAGTCACATGTTTACATATCCTGTCTGTGGGTTCTCGGCGGTGGGGGGCGGGGTTGGCTATGCTCTACACTTCTCTCTCTCAGACATACGTGCACAAACACACACATGCACACAAGCACACACATGCACACAAGCACACACATGCACACAAGCACACACATGTACACACATGGATCTTGCATATGACACTTGATAACAAATACTGGTTGAATGAATGAATTTCTCCCAAGGAGACAGCTTGAGCAATCACGAGCTCCTTGAAAGAATAGGGTGTAGAAAAGCAAAACAACAGGTTTGGGTCTTTAGTTCAAAGGTAAGCCAGCACATTCACTACATATCCTATCCAAATTTGACCGGCCTCCAGCAGGTTTCCCAAGAGATCTAATCAATTAACACCCAGTCCTGGGGTGTGTCGGGGATGAACAGAGCAGTAGAGAGTGTGGTGTTACTTGGTACAAGGGCAGCTATTGGGAGAGCATCACCCAGGCCGTTCCTACTCTGCTGACATCGAGCTAAACCTAGGAGATGCTAACGGCAAGCAAGGGTCACCTAACAGACCCATCCTCTTCGCCGCGCCCTCCCGCTAGATCCAAAAGCGTGCTGACAGTACCAGCCTCAAGCTGTCTCCAGTTAATGTCTTTAAAGAGGGTGTTGGCACGGAGCTCATCACAAGTCCCGTCTCTAAACCCCAGGCGCTTCTCTGGGTCCTTCTCCAGCAGTGCCTCACAGAAGTCTTTGCTGGCCTGGCTGAACTTGTCCGGGTACTTGACTGGCTCTGAGAGGATCCTCTGCTTGAGCTCCTTGTTCTCCACCTGTGCAGTGGGACACGTATCACATTAAATTCCTGGGAACCCACCAAAGAGGCCAGAGCTGGCATGTCAGGCTCCAGGAGATTGGACAGCCCCTGTTGGTGCCCCGGCTAGCACTCCTCACAGGAAGAAGCCTGCCCTCACCCATACCGGAGCGGAGGCGACAGTAAACACCTGAGTGCACACCTCTTCCCCAAAGAGTAGCAGTTAAAGGGCTCAATATCTCAAGTCGAAGGAGGAAACCCTAAAGATGCCATTCAAAGTCGGGGTGCAGTGTAGTTTAGGGAACTCTGGCTGATGCCTTGGCACATTACATAATTATTCCTTACCCAATGGAGAAAATAAGAATAACAGAAAATAAAAAGTCTACTTTATAGACCTGAGCTGGCAGAGAGGTCTTCTAACTGGATAGAAACCTGAGGGTGTGTCTATGACACCTTATTTTGAATCAGCTCTATGGAGTGTAATTTACATACCACAAAGCTCTATCTTCAGTGACCCCAGTGAAGGGTTTCGATCAGTCTCCGTGGAACATCCCCCACTATTGCCCCAAAGTACCCTGTGTCCTCTGCAGCCCATCTCCACCCCTACCTCAGGAAAACACTGACCCGTTTCCTCTCATGATGGATTAGATATGGCTTTTCTAAAATTTCCTAGAAATGAAATCATTCAGCTACTTTTCCGTGTCTGGCTTCTTTCATTCCATGTAACAGGTTTGAGACCCATTCATGTTATAAGTATACTTAGGTTCCCTCTTTCTTGTTGCTACCAAGGTGGGATTCTATGGTACAAATGGACCTCTGCTGGGTCACTATGCGCATCTCATAGCTCACCATGCTCACTTACACACAGAGAACAGGGGTTGTGGTTGGGGCTGTGAGATCAGCGAAAACTGAGGTGAGAGTTGGGAGCTTCTAGCATGGCCTATGGCTGTCTCTACCTGCATGTGGATCTCATACCATTTTGTTTTACTTTGTTCTTCTGAGCTGTTGAAAGTCAGGAGAAAGAATTGGTTACTAGGGTTCAAGGTGGAGTTGCAGAGACACAGAGTGACTCATTGTTTTAGTCATGTGGGGATTCTCTGCCCTTGGAATATTGGGGACATAATTTGTTTCACAATTGTCTTAAGGGATAGGAGTGGGGACCTGGTATGGCAGGGGAGCTTGGGGGAGGGGACACACTGGGAGGTCCAGGCAAAAGAAAGTGGTGGACGTGACCTGCATACAGGCCAAGGGGCAGTGGGAATGGGCAAGAGAGGGGCCACGTCTAAAGACTGCCATTCACACCGGGCCCCCGGAGGTGCCTCCTTTCCCATCCAGCCTCCTCATTCCCAGTTCACAGAGATGCCTGGGGCAGACCACAAAGGAGAGAAACGAGGAGCGTGGGAGGCCAGGGGTCATGGCACAGCATGCGATGTCTACTTTTCTCCAAAACATTCAGAAAAGCTGCTGTGCTGTGCCTGGTTCAAGGCCTGCAGGTTCTTAGCATCATGGGAGAATGTTCTTAGCATTCACCTGCAGTGAAGAGCACGAAGGCCATCAAAGGGACCAGGCGGCTAGGTGGGGTAGGGCAGGTGGTACTGAGCGCTGATCATGGCAGTGGGTTTGGAAAGATGAAGGCACCTGAAATGCTCCTTAGTGCCGGGAGCTACATGAAATGAAGTCTACGTTCCCTCTCCTCTGCTCAGAAAGGACCTACCACAAGAAGCCTAGTGCTTAAGATTTGAGCATCTCCCCCAACAAGGAGGGTCAACCCCAGAACAGCTGCAGGAACACTGGCTGAGCCACCTCCTACCTTCTCTCCCCGGGCTCGGAAGGGTCCTCTGGCCGCAATCATCTCATACAGCGTGACCCCCAGGGCAAAGTAATCCACGGAAAAATCATACTCCTCGCCCCGCAGGAGCTCAGGGGCCATGAAACCTGCCGGGCAAGAGCACAGGGCACACTCAGAGACACAGTTGCATGGCAGTGAGCATTACCCTATCCTGGTAGTGGCAGAACTGATGCTCCCACGTGCACGTAGTACAGGGTTCTCACGCTATGATATTTGAGGCAGAAAATTCTCTGTGATGGGACTGCCCTGTGCACTCTAGGGTGCTGAGCAGCATCCCTGGCCTCCACCCACTAGTTAGTATCCCTCAGTCGTGGCGACCAAAAATGTCTCCAGAATTGCCAGTTGAGCCCTGGTTGAGAACCATGCTCTCCACACATGGTGTGAAGCCTCATCTCCCTTTTAATACCCCATGACAGACAGAGTGGTGGTCTCAGACACAAGCTAGAATTGAGAACCAGGCTCTCCACACATGGTATGAAGCCTCATCTCCCCTTTAACACTTGCAAAACCTGCAATATAAGTATGTGACAGACAGAGTGGTGGTCTCAGACACAAGCTAGACCTGTGGGGTCATAGGTGTGTGTGGCATAAGGGTTGCAGAGACAGGCACTACGGGATGCTTCCTGAAAGAGCACAAAAGTACAGATTTAAGCTAAGATATTCCAAAGAGGGAGGGTACTGTCTCAGGGGCCACACTTCAGGCTGAAGCTGAGGGGTGCCCACTAAGGCCAGGCTATTAGCACTCAAGGAGGCCTTGTTTTTGACTGATGTGAGTCGGTGTATTGGCACCCATAAGTAGCACTTATTCTAGCTGACCCGTATTCCACGCTTACTGTGTGCCAGGTGAAGGTGCGAAGTGATCTCCTTTAAGTAGGAAGTAAGTGCCATTACTTTTCCTTATCATAAGAGAACTATGTTGCTCACAGTAACATTGATAATAGGTAACAAAGTAGGATTCAAACCCAGGCATCTGACCTCCCCAATCACTACATCGTCCTTTGGTATGGTGGTTAAACCCACTGCTAATCCACCTAATCGTCTTTCTGTAACTCAGTTTTCATCTGTCCCAAAATTATACAGGCGTATTAAGAATTAGCTAATTCTACAAGGTCTGTTTCTAAAAATACTAGTACCCTGACCCCTCCTCCTTCACCTCATCGTCATCTCAGAATTGTTTGAGCTGGTTATTTTAGAATTAATATCCATACCTCTAAATCACATACTTATATTGCAGGTTTTGCAAGTCCCATGGGGGCCTCCTCGCTTGACTCCCTGCTCTGGAGGCTGAAGTTCTATCCCTCTGTCCTCCACCGCCACGCAGACGCTTTCCGTCCTCCTCGTCCTGATACATCGTCTGGCTGGTCAGCACTCGGCTCCCACTCTCCCCTACTGAACCAAAACTAAACCCCATTTATATGTCCTTCCTGACATGTTTTTAGTGGTTTTCCCAGGTTATCTTATCTTTTCTTTCATTTGTTTGGTTATCTATGTCCTTATTGTCAATGTGACCCTAAATTCTCGGACAATTCTCTAATCCCTGTCATGTTCTGATATATTAAATATTTTATCAATTCTATCCTCATGAGAAAGTCTCTTGGAACCTTCTTACCGTCTCTAATCGGGATTCTGGGGTACAGCCAGTAGCCTAGAATCTTCCTGTCATCCTGAAACCCTTTGCTTCTCTGTGTCCTCCCTCCCAGATACACCACTTTTTGGTTGACTCCCTTATTTTGGTAAGGTAGCTTCCTGAAAAAAAGGATGCTAAGGATGTAAGTTCTTCAGAACTTTTGTGTTTGAATATGCTTTTATTTATTGTGCCTCAATATTTAACTAATAGTTCGGCTGAGTATAAATTCTAGGTGAGAAATCATTTTCCCTCTTATTTTTAAGACATTTCCCACTGTCTTCTCACTTCCAATATTACCTCGGTGGGGAGTAATTGTGACCTTTTTATGGCTGAGGAAGTATAGGTGACTCTCCAAGTTCACAGAGACAGATCGTCTTGGGGCCTGAAGTCCACCTGTGCAGCCCAGTATTGGGTCCGTGTGCCCACGTACTGTGCTGTGTGACTCATATGTTCCTAACCATGTGCTTTGTTTCTCTCTCTGATTTAAAGAAAAAAATGCCATGTTCAGCAAAGCAAGTAAGAACTTGTCAGATGTCTGTGTCTGGAGGAATCCAACTTCCAGGAGCAGGTCGGTTGCCCACCTTTGTCTCATCTGCTCCCATGCCAGGTACGTGCCATATTTGGGGAGTTGGGGCCATGTTCTGAGCTCCACATCTTGAACGTCAGTAAGCTTTGGGCCTCCCAACTGTCTAACTTCCTAACTGCCACCATGCAGAGGCAAGCCCAGCACCTGGGAAGGATAAACAAGCCAGTTTCTGGGGGCCATAGTTCTCTCCCCTGGCACCAGGGGTAAGTGTTATGGGCTGGCATGGGGTGGCTTCTGTGCTTGGATGACTTTAGACATTCTGAGGTAAATGAAGCTAATTGTGTCCATTTATTTCAGTTCCTTCAATGTACCCATGCTCATGGTAAGCTTCCAAGAGGGAGACGTTCTTGGCAACGCCGACCAAGTTGATGTGACATAAGAATCGATTCTCCCCAAAGAGGTTACGAGAGTCAAATTCTATAGAACCTCCTGGCCCTGAATGCACCTTTGTAAGTTCTGCTTTTCAGGGACTTATATTACTGTTCAGACTCTGTGAGAAAGCCATGTCCAACTGACCACAGTTTCTGGATTAAAACAGGGCAGCCAGACCACAGGCACCCCTAGTCTGCTTCATTCAACTCAGTCCCAAATGTTACACCTTTTTGTATCCTGGGGGTCTTATGTAACTCTTGGGGCAAAGCAAGCGCCAACAGATATTTGTTGTGTGAATGAATGAATGAATGAATGAATGACTACTACTTCAGTCTAGCTACTAATTCTTCTGCATATTGACTCATCTTCCCCTCCAGGCTGGAAACTTACTGGGGACAGAGAGCATGCCTTATATTTCCACTACATGTCCCACTGGGCTGGCACAGCACTATCCAAAGTGAGTCCCCTGTTTATAGTCAATTGCAGAGGCTCAGAGGCTCTGCCTCTAGGTGGGGCCTAGGGTTGGGAGGGTGGGTGCACAGGGGCCAGAAGAAGGATCTAGAAGGCAGCCCCTGTGGCTTTGCTGGATGCCCCAGCTTTCTTACACCTTAACTTCGGCATTTGCTGCAGCTATTTGAGGGTCATTCCCTGCACTTGACCCCAAATGCTCGGGGCAATGTCCTCACGCTAGGGTCAAGAGAACCTCGGGCCTGGAAAGCTGCGGTCCCTCTCTTCAGAGTAAAGCAGAGGCTTGGCAGCCACAGCAAAAGCCTACGGGGACCTCTGGTGGCGGGTGGGGCCCTCGCACGCGGCAGAAACAGGGTCAGCAGTAATCTTGAGGTCAAATTAGTTTAAATCCTGGCTTTGAGGTCCCCTGGGGCTTTCTCCTAATGATCTGGGTCTCCTGGAAATACATGAGCGGTGTTTCCAGTCATAGACTCACACCTGGGAGTGAACTTCATAGATTTGGCTGAGGATCCAGAAAAATTCAAGATAGGATCTTTGCCTAAGTAAAGCCACAGATGAGGACAGACTCACTATGGTGACAGGTACCAACCCTGAAAGAGCACAAAGTCCAAGGATTGGGAGGATTCTGTGACACAAAACAAGAAAGCCGCTGAAGGCGAAAGCTTTCGTCATAGAGGGCGCAGTGTGTCAAAACAAATAATGATTTTTAGGTGGGGAGGGGTTGTCCCCACAGTGGGTGCAAGCTTGTGCTGTAGCTGTGCAAGCACACTAGCCAGCCTCCTTGGTTTTTCATTCTGAGGGATGAGGGAGCCGCTCCCCTACAAAACCTCTGCCCTCTCCTGTCATCTTCCCAGCCACGGTGACCTCTAGGACCTCCAGAGCCTTGCCCCACCCCCTAGGACAGGCTACCCTAATTCTTGCCCTCAGGCCCTTACCTGGGGTCCCTGCATAGCCCTTGGTCTTGGTCTGCCCTTCCTTTAGCTCCACGGCCAGTCCAAGGTCAGAAATTCTAACATTGCCTGAAAAACAAACATGGGCTGAGATTACATGTGGCTCCAGGAAACAAAGACACCTGGTATTGCTGGAGCCCGCGGGAGCCAAGAGCCAGCCTCTGCACACATGCACACATGTGCACGCACAAATGCTCACACTTACGTGCACATATGTACGCGTACGTGCACACATAACTACACCTGCTCACACACATGTACCTATGCATGCACACACATATGCATACACGCCGACACACATGTACAAGTGCGGACACATGCACATGCATGTTCATATACTCACTCACATGCACACACGTGTACACTCTGGGGCAGAGAGGCCCAAGGCCTCAGCACCCAAGTGCCTCTGCTCCCCGTGTGTGCACACACATATGCATACACGCCAATACACATGTACAAGGGGGACACATGCACATGCATGTTCATACACTCACTCACATGCACACACGTGTACACTCCAGGGCAGAGAAGCCCAAGGCCTCAGCACCCAAGTGCCTCTGCTCCCCATCCAAAGTACAGAGGGAACGAGAGTGACTTCACACAGGAAGCAAAAAGAAAAGAGTGACAGTGAGGATTTGGCCATAAAATATCAACTATTTGCCAATAGTTCCGGGCACAATAGATATCCTGGATTAACTCCCTATAAACCTAAGTGCCTAATTATGCACCACATTTCATCAAAGTCCACCCAAAAATCTTCATCTGGAGACTATGCTGTTCTATCGCAAAATGGCGGAATGGACAATAAACAAACTTAAGATGTGTCTTCGTGCTGCTTAAAGCTCTGATGAACCAGAGGGGGAAGGAGGGAGGTAGATGGGGGAAAAATTTAAATCATTTCTTCAATTAAAAAGTAAATTAATTTTTAAAAAATTAATAAATAAGGCTCTGATGAGCACTTATCAAAATCAGCCCAACCCCCTATAGGTGACCTATGGAGCCACAGAGGCAAGTAGGGCTGAGGGGAAGGTGGGAGGGGAGGCCAGGCGAGGGGAGGCGCCTCACCGTCATTGTCCAGAAGCACGTTCTCAGGCTTGAGGTCTCGGTAGACGATGCCCCTCTGGTGCAGGTGCTCCAGGCCACTGATGATCTGGGCCGTGTAGAAGATGGCGCGAGGCTCCGGGAAGCCGGGGTTCTCCTCATCCACATTGTAGATGTGGTACCTGGAGGCAGACTATGCGGAGGCCTATGCTTTTCTGGCACAACCACGAGAGTGTGACCACAGTCTTGATGGAAGTAAAATCTTGGGAAAATAGCGAGGGCCTCAAAATACCATGTTGTGTCAGCAAAGTGGCCATTTTGGGGCCTCACTGTCCAGCCCAAAGAGCCTGTGGCAATGCCATGACCCCGTCCCCTCATAGACCCTTCGCCACAAGTATTAGAGGAGAGAAACGGGGCAGTGAAGGGCACTCGTCTCTCTTGCCTCTCCAGTGCTCGCCTGCAGAGGCCGGGAGATGGGCCCCAGAGCCATTTCACCATCACCAGCTGACCAATCGAATGCGTGAGGGTGAAGAAGGCAGAGGCACCCGAGTTACCTCAAATATAAGTAGCTAGCCCAGAGCCACGTGAGTGTTGGCTACTTCCCCCAATTCGAACACACAGACTCCTCAAGGGACCCACAGCGGGGCCTCCCTCCCAGCTTCCAGCCTCCCCTATAACTTTCCTGTCATGTTTCCCACTACCATGTTAACAAATAAACAGAAATAAATTACTTAAACTGAATAGCAACATGGGAGAATAGAGGCAGACCAGAAAACTTAAAAGAAAAAAAAATAGAGAAACACTCAAATCAGCCTGAGCATGAGACAGCTGGAATAATAACAAAAATGGCTTTCATATTACATTTATATTATAGTATAGTATAGTACAGTATATATAGCATAGTATAGTATACTGTAGTATACTATAGTATAGTATAGGTTTTTAATGTAGTATAATGTAGTATAGTGTATTATAGTGTGATAGAGTATTTTAGTTTACTATATGCAGTATAATTTATTATAGTATACAATATAGTGTAGTATAGTGTAGTATGGTATAGTATAATGTAATGAAGTATAGTATCATGATCATTCCTACTCTGTCATGTTATTTGCACTTCCTAGACCCTTCCGATCCTCTTTTGTGTAACCTTACGTGGGTTACTTAGTCAAGACCTTAGAATCTTCATCCGGAAAATGAAGCCAACCAACTTACCTGGCAAAGTTCACTGGAGATGAAACTAGATGGGACAATAGAAGTACAGGATCTTGCAAATAACACCAATAGCAACGCCCCCTTTTGTGTAAGTGACTGTGACACTCTCCTAAGTGTCTCGCTTGTGTTTACCCACACCCCACAACAACATTTGAATACCAGTGATATTCTTTATCCTCATTTTACACACCAGCACACTGAGGCAAGAGTGCTGAGGTTGCCCAGCCAGCAAGTGGGTCTTTTCCTCTCTGAAGCCAGTAGTCTGATTCCCCCGGGAGCCCAGGGCCAGGCCCTCAGATCCCTGGCAGATCCAGGCACTGTACAGAACTGAAACCCCCCGTTCTCTCCTCCAGTGAATGACAAAGCCAAGGTTCCCAATGTTGGCCACATCACGTTTCCAGCTCTTCCATCATCCGCAAGAGTGGGCTGTTGATGAAGTTTGTCTTCATTTATATTCCTCTTAATACAAGGCCTCAGCCCCCATGAGGTCCCAAGCGCCCCTTTATTCATCCATCCAACTAGCACCACATGATCCTGCTACCCATCCCATTCACTGCTTCCCACCATCCACACAAACCTAGGGTCTAGAGAGCCTTAATTTCACATGGGACTGAGGACACATCACTTCAAGTATCAGCAACCAGAAGATAAAGAGCGGAGGATTTCGACGAGGGCACATCAAATGTCACCATGTGCTCTGCAGGTAGGAAGGAGCCCCACTGGGCCACAGGGACCAAAACTCAACCACTCGAGCCCTCCCAGTCCCAGCTCCCACGTGGAAGAGAGAACCCCCGTTTACCTTAAGTCGCCTCCATTCATGATGGTCATCACCAGACAGAGGTCAGTTTTGGTTTCAAACGCATAGGCCAGAGAGACTATAAACCTGCTGTGTACTTTTGCTAGAATCTTCTTCTCTACCATAGCACCCTGAAAAGCAAGATGTTGAAAAGTACCCAGGTTTAGGCAGAGAAGTGACATTGTCATAAAAGACCAAGTCTCACAAGTCAGAAAATGTCACAGTAAACTAGAAACAGAGTTGCAAATATATTTTTATGGTAGTTTGCTCAAAGTAATTGCAAATAACTTGTAAACATGCCTCACTCCCGCCATTTTAGGGATAAAATCTTACGTGCAAATTCATCACGTACAGAGGACTTCCGGTTTCCCGGAGCCTCCAACAAGGGCGGCTTCAGCTAACAAGTCTTAAAAATGCCAGGTGAAGTTTCCAGCACATCCTTTGGCTGACTTTCCAGCCAGCCCTTCCCTACATCTAACCAGCTTGCCCTGCTGCAATGTCAGCCCCTTTTCTCTGGACAGCAGAGGATAGCCAAGGTCCCAAGCCACACTGCATCTCTGTCCATTTTCTATCTTTATTTTAAAATGTCATAAAATCTATTTAGCATGCTTTTAAAAGTTGTGTTTGGACAAGGAAAGCAGCTTCCCTTTCTGAAGGAGGAATTCTTGATGTTGGAGAAGGCCCCTTTCTATCCACACCACACGGGAAGATTTTAGGTTGACTTTACTGTGCATAAAGTCCAAGGAAGGTCCTGAACTCAGGAGAGAAGAGATGGTAGTACTCTAATTGTTGAGTTAAAATTACAGGCAGCCAGCTGTGAGGAATAACTGCTTCCCCCTAAAGCCCCATGGGGGAGAGCACCATGAAGTAACCCCCTGGGGAGGGGTGCTCTGTGGTGGCTGCCGTATGCCCCAAAAAGCTGCATTTGTCCACAACCCAAGTCTGCACTGTGCAGCAGGAAAGGGACAAAGAGCCATGAGGACAGAACGTGAGGCCAGGAGATGAGTTCCTAAGACACTAAGCAGCTTTCGCTGATCCTGCCTAAATGGGTTCTGACTCCAGTTAAAGAGAGCAGACCCCACTCAGAGTGACCTGCCTGTGCCTCCATTCACTCCCCGACCCTGGGAAACAGCTGCACTAGGGCAACAGCCCGCACCCGGCATCATGGACAGGCTCGGCCTCACGTAAAGGGCCAGCACCAGCCCTGGCTCCATTCCCTGTGTGTTGCCCATCATAGCAAAAGCCAGGGTGTGAGTAAGTTTCAGAAAGTTGGAGTAAAGATTTGGAGAACAATTTCCCACAGTCTCCCCTAACACTGCCACTGTACTTGGTGGTGTTGCTAAAAAAAAAAAAAAAAACAAGAAGGATAATAAAATGTGGAGCATCATCCACACCAACAAATATGAAGGCTCTCTGAGGAGGGATGTCAGCAAACCCCCTTTGTGTGCAGTGTGAGGCTCGTGGTTAAGAGCAGTTGGACAAGCTGAGTCATAGGCCGAGAGGGCCACAGAGCCCACACACCACCTCCTCCCGCCACTCCGCCCTGCACCAGGCACTCGGCTCGGCTGCCCGGCTCAGACAGGGCTGACTCAGGACAAAGAGACGTAGATGAACTAGACACCAGCCAATGGCCGCGTGACAGGAGAGGTTCTGTGTCCAAAAGGCAAGGTGAGCAAGCCAGCCAGCCAGCTAAGGGGTACAGCGTGAAGCTGGACAGGGCAGCTAAGGACCCTCCTCACCCACTGACCCACCCATCCACCAGAGCTAAGAGCATGCCCTCTGCTGTGAACGGCTGTGCTGCCCACCTGGTACCCCTTCCTCTTCTTCAGCCTCTTCTTATTAAGCTTTTTACATGCATACATCTTGCCAGTTGCCTTCATCTGGCAGGCGGACACCTCCCCAAAGCCACCTTTCCCCAGGACCCTGAAGTCCAGAAACCAGTCCTCCCCTGTGGGCTGGGCCTCCAGCCACTTCCACTGCAGGAACCTCTGGAAGTACAGAGTGTCCAGGTATTCTTGGAACGGGGCCTGGCTCAGGTAGGCCAGGGTGGCCTGCAGGAGGGGCTGGAAGAGCCCATTCCCACTCGCCACAAGCACCTCCCGGACCTTCACCACCATTCCTTCATCCAGGAAGCTGCAAAAGAGTTTGGCCTGAGGGTCCAGGTACTCGGCCAGGATGGCCTGGGCCTTCTGCGGCCGGAGGTCGTCATCAGCCGTGTCGTAATCCTCGATGTCCTTCCAGAGCTCCAGGGCCGGCACGTGCCTCTCATCGGCCTTCAGGAACTGCTGGAAGAGCCGCTTGCCAATGGGCTGCTCCGAGCACAAACTCTGGAACTCCAGGTTCAGGCTGTCCCGGAGGCTCTCGCACTTGGAGAGAGGAGGCAGCTTGAGCTTGGCCAGGTACTTCTTGTCCCGGGAGGACGGGGCACTGCTCCCATCGAAGCTGCCCCGGGCGGCGATGAAGGCAGAGTTGGCGACCACTGTCTCCAAGGACCCGAAATCCATCCTGGAGCTCACCTCCCGCCTCAGGCACCAGAGGCCATAGGCTAACCTTCAGCGCCCGTGTCCAGAGTGGGCCTGACCCACTGCCCTTGGCCTGTGCCCGTTCTTGGCTCTAGGGACAGGAGGTGTCCCGGCCGGTACAAGGATAACTGGGGGCCACACCAGGAGCACCCAGGTAACCCAGCTGACAGCTCAGGCTAAATCCCAGCCCGGGGTTATGGAGGACACACTCAGGGCAACGAGCAGGTGCCAGAAAAAGACAATCCCCTAAGCCGCTCCCAGAAGGATTAGATGGCCGGCCGGCCTACTCCTTCCTCTGAGGCTGCCTCTGTCTTGACCGACCCCGGGACCCCTAGGTGCACCTCACTGAAGTCCCAGAGCTTCAGAGTCATTCTGAGCTGCCCCGTGCAGCCCTCTGGTCTCAGCAGCCAGGCAGACCTCTTGTTTGCTTTCTCGAGGGGACTCAAGACTGAACTGAAGGGCGAAGGGAGCACCAGGAGAAACATCAATTTATAAAGATGGCTGGGTTTTTTTTCCTAGTGTATTTCATTGTCTTCTTAGGGAAAAACAGCAAGAGAAGAAAACCTGCTGATAATAGAAGTTTAGAGAGAGAGAAACCATAGTGAACAGCTTCCTGGGGTGTCCCCTGGTGAGACCACTGGCCCAGGGAACCGATCAGTATGTGAGGACTAACATTTGTCCTGACCTGACACTGAGAGCAGCTGTGCTCCCAAGGCACGCCGCTGGCTCTGAGGACTGAAGGAGACCCTGGCGCTTGCTGAGGGTCAGCTCCACATCAGTTCCCTCTCTTACCTGGGCTGTGCCCAAAAAGTCAAAATGCCAAGAGAAGCGTTCAGGTGACATTAGACAGGGAAGCAGGAGACCCCCGAGCTATACCCAGTGCTGAGGCCCCACACACAGAGAGGCAGGAATGAGAGGGGAATAAAGAGTCCAGGGACACACCTAGGACACACCTGGAGCACAGCTGGAGCATGCTTTAGAGTCATCAGGGGCACACCTGGAACATACCTGAGGCATATCTGGGATATACCTGAGGTATACCTGGGACACTCCTGAGAGTCACCTGGAGCACAACTTAAAGACACCTGGGACATATCTGGGTATACCTGGAGCACACCTGGGACACATCTGGAGTACATTTATGGATGCCGGGACCAAAAGAAGTGTCAGCTTCATGAGGTCACAGCCTTGTCTGTCTGTTCGAGTACACAGCAGGAGCTCAGCAAATGTTTGGGAAAGGATGCCAAGAATTGAGTAAGGGGTTGGTTATAGTTTAATGAGGGAAGGAAATGAAGAGTTTCAGAACAAAGAATGCCATGGCCAGAAGAGGCTGGGGGGCTGCCCAGCCTACCCATCTATTCCATGGTAGGAGAAGTGGAGTGTCTCAGAGGGCAGTGAGATCCTGTAAGTGGGTGCAGAAAGACAGGTGGGCTTCTCTATAGGCCTGGGAAGGCATAAATGAGAACTTGCTGGCTGAGCAGGCATTGTCCTTCTGCCCAACCAAGTGGGTTGGAGGGTCCAACCCAGCCACTTAATAACAGATGACCTTGGGCCAATCACTTGAACCCCTTTCTGCCTTCTCAATCAAGGTTCGAATGAGACAGTGGTGCCCATGGTGTTTTGTAGAATGGAGCACCCCCTGCTAGCGTTTCCCACAGTGTGTCCTGGGTCACCCGAAGATCTTGCCAAAATAAAGATTCTGTTTTAGTAGCCTGGAGAAGGTCTCTCACAAGCTCCCAGCTAGTGTTAACATTGTCAGTCAGGACTCACTGTGAGAAACCGGGTCTGAGGAAGACAACTCCCATTGGGTTAACACTGAGCTACATCCTGGGGAAGGGCAAGCATTGGGTTAAACAAAGTTAAATATGTTTCCTATCAAGGAACTTATTTAGAGATTTTCGAGTGAACTTGGCTTCCTAATAGGGGTCAAGTATGCAGTGTTTCTCAAACTCATTTAGCTCTGGGACCTCTCTCCTTATATAAATTAACTTTTTGAGGGGAATAACTATAGATTCACATGCAGTTATAAGAAACGATCCAAAGAGATCACATGTACCCTTCACCCAATTTCTGACAATGGCAATGTCTTGCCAAACTAAAGCACAGAATCACAGCTGGGACACTGACCTTAACACAGACAACACACTGAACATTCCGTCCCCACAAGGATCTCTCCTCTTACCCTTTTAGAGACACACCCACCTCCCTCCCACCCCCACACCCTCCTGAACCCTTGAAAACTACTCGTCTATTCTCCATTTCTATAATTTTGTCACTCCAAGTATGTTCTATAAATGGAATTGTACAGTAAATAACCTTTTGAGTTTGGCTCTTTTCGCTCTGCACAATTCTCTGGAGATTCATCCAGGTTGTCGTGTGGATCAGTAGTTTTATTGCAGAGTAGTATTCTATGGTGTGGATGGACCATGGTTGGTTTAACCATTCACTTGCTGAAAGACATCTGGATTGTTCTAGTTTGGGGCTATCATGAATAAAGCTGCTATGAACAGTCATGTACAGATTTTTATGTGAATATAAATTTCCATTTCTCTGAGATTAATGCCCAAGAGTGCAATTGCTGAGTTGTATGGTAATTGTTTGTTTAGTTTTTTAAGAAACTGCAAACATTTTTCCAGAGCAGCTGTACCATTTTACATTCCCACCAGCAACATATGAGTGATCCAGTTCCTCAGTGTGCTCCCAGCATTTAGTATTGTCACTATTTTTTATTTTAGCTATTTTGATATGTGTGTCGTGGTATCTTATGGTTTTAATTTGTGTTTCCCTAATGGCTAATGATACTAAACATCTTGCCATGTGTTTATTTGTCATTTGTATATTCTTTTTGGAGAAATGTCTCTTCATGTCTTTTGACCATGTTCTAACTGGATTGTTTGCTTTTTTGCTATTTTGAGTATTTTTTATCTATCTTAGATACGAGTCTTTTATTGGATTTGTGGCTTTCAAATACTTCCTCCAAGTTGTAGCTTGTCTTTTCATCTCCTTCACAATGGCTTTCACAGAACAAAAGTTTATTTTGTTAAAGTCCAATTTATCATTTTCTTTCCTTTTATAAATTGTACTTTTGCTGTCAAGTCTAAGAACTCTTTGCCTAGCGCTAGATCTTGTAGATTTTCCTCCCATGTTTTTTTTTTTTCCAAAAGTTTTATATTTTTATATTTAAATCCATGATCTACCTTGAGTTAATTTTTTTACAAAGTATGAGACTTAGGTCAAGGTTCGTTTTTTGCCAATGGATGTCCAATTGCTCCAGCTCTATTTATTGAAAAAGCCCTTTGTGCTTCCTTGAATTTCCTTTGTATCTTTGTCAAAAATCAGTTGGGCATATTAGTATGGGCCTGTTTCTGGGCTTTCTATTCTGTTCCATTGGTCTCTGTGTCTATCCCTCCACCATACCTCACTGTCTTGATTGCCATAGCTATTTCTGTCTATATTTGTGAAGGATATTGGTCTGTAGTTTTCATTTTTGGTACTGTCTTTGTCTGGTTTTGGCATAAGGATAATACTAGTCTTATAAAATCAGTTGGGAAATGTTCTCTTCTATTTTCTATATAATATATTACATAATTTGTAGTTCTTCCTTAAACATTTGGTAGAATTCTCCAGTGAAACTATCAGGACCTGGAGGTTTCTTTGTTGGGAGATTTTAAATTATGCAATAAATTTTCTTAATCAGTATAAGGCTATTCAAATGACCTATTTCAAATTGGACAAGCTGTGTTCTTTGAGGAAGTGGTCCATTTCATCTAAGCTGTCAAGTTTAAATATACAGAGTTGTGTATAGTACTTTCTTATTATTTTTTTAATGTCTGCAGGGTCTGTAGTGATACCACGTTTCATTCCTGATATTGGTTATTTGTATCTTCTCTCTTGCTATAGGTTTGCCAATTTTATTGATCTTTTCAAAGAACCAGTTCTTTGTTGTTTCATTAACTTTCTCTTTTGCTTTTGTTTTTAATTTTATTGGTTTCTCCTCTTATCTTTTAACTCTTCCTCCTGCTTGCTCCCCACCCCACCCTTCCTAAGTTTTTGAAGTAGAAACTTAGATTTTTGATTTGAGAATTTTCCTCTTTTTTAATATATTCATTTAGTGCTATAAATTTTTCTGTTAACACGGCTTTACCCGTGCTCCACAAATTTTAGTGTTATATTCCGTCTTCATTCAGTCCCATATATTATTTTAAATTTCTCTAAGGCTTCTTTTTTGACTCATATATTATTTAGAAGTGTGTTGTTTAGTTTTCACATGTTTTGAGATTTTTCTGTTATCTTTCTGTTATTGATTTTTAGTTTGATTCATTGTGGTTATAGAACACTCTGTATGATTTCATTTCTTTCAAATTTGTTGTGCTTTATTTTATGGCCCAGAATATGGTCCAGGTTGATAAATGTTCCATGAACACTTAAAAAGAAAGTGTATTTTGCTGTAGTTAGGTGAAATATTTTACAAACGTCAATGGCATCCTGTTGGTCGATGATATTGTTGAGTTCTTCTATAACCACACTGATTTTCTGCTTAGTTGTTCTATCAAATGTTGAGAGAAGAACAATGAAATCTCTAAAATTGTAGATTTGTCTCTTTCTCCTTTAAATTCTGTCAATTTGCTTTACATATTTTAAGCTCTGTTGTTTGGCACATACACATTCAGGATTGCTGTATCTTCTTAGTGAATTGATCCTTTATAATTATATAATGTTTGTCTCTGGAAATTTTCTCTGCTCTGAAGTCTATATTATATGACATTACTACAGCCACTCTTGCTTTATTTGGTTACTATTTGCGTGATATATCTTCTTTCATCATTTCCCATTCATCCTGCTTATATCATTGCATTTAAGGTGAGTTTCTTATAGTTGGTATATAACCCACTCTGTCAGTCTGTTTTTTAATCGGTGTGTTTAGACCATTTACATTTAATGTAATTATTGCTATGTTAGAGCTCAAGTCTGTCATTTTTCTGTTTGCTTTGTTTTACATTTTTCTGTTTTCTTTTTTCTTTTTCCTGTGGGTTCTTGAACATTTTTTAGAATTCAATTTTCATTTATTTGTAGTATTTCTAAATGTCTCTTTATATAGTTTTATATTGGTTGCCATAGGCACTGCATTTTATAGGCATCACTTTTCATATCCTTTGTTCTCGTTTTATCAGTTTGAGTGAAATATAGAAATCTTACCTCTTTTTATCTTCCTCTATTTATAATTGTCTTAATTTTTTCAGCTATATAAATTTGGAACAATATTAGGCAACATGATAACTTTTGCTTCAACCATCAAACATAATTTGGAAAACTCAAGAAGAAAAGGAAAGCCTATAGTATTTACTTATATTTTGTTTACTGTATTATTTCTTCCCTCCTGGTGCTCCAATAAGCCTTCTTTTAATGTTCTCTTTCTGTTTTGAAAATGTCCTTTAGCCATCCTTTTAGGATAAACCTACTGGTGGCAAATTATTTTACTTTTCCTTCATTTGAGAATGTCTTGATTCTCCCTTCATTCCTAAAAGATGTTTTGTTACATTTAGGATTCTAGGTTGACAATACTTTTGTTTCATCATTTGAAAAATACTGTACAACTTTCTTTTAGTTTCTGATAAGAAATGTTCTGTCATCAGATGGGTTTTCTCTGGCAGCTTTCTAGATTTGTGTGTGTGTGTGTGTCTTCAATTTTCAGAAATTTAATCGTGATGCATTTGGCATGGATTTGATGGGGCATGGTTTTCCTGTTTGGGATTTACTTAGCTTCTTGAATCTGTAAGTGTATGTCTTTTGCCAAATTTGGGGAGTTTTCAGTTATTATTTCTTTGAGTAGTTTCCAGCCTTGCTCTCTTACCTTTCTCTTTCTGGAACTCTTATGGCACAGATGTTTGATTTTTATTCCGGTCCCCTAGGTCCCTGAGGCTCTATGCATTTTTTCCAAGTCTATCTTCTCTCTATTGTTCAGAAAAGGTCATTTCAATTGTTTTTTCCCCTCCATGTCAGAGATTCTTTCCTTTGCCCTCTCCCTTATACTGTGAAACTGATTCTTTGAGCTTTTATTTTGGTTATTCTTTTTTTTTAATATAAAAATTCCATTTAGTTCTTCTTTGTATCTTCTATTTCTTTCCTTAAACTCAATTTCTTTGCTGAGGCCTTTTATTTCTTCATTTATTTCAAGCAGGTTCATAATTGCTCACTCAAGTAATTTTGTCATGGCTATTTTAAAATTTCTGTTGGGCAACCCCAACATCTCTGTCACCTCGATGTTGCCATTCAATGATTGTCTTATTTTAATTCATTTTGAAATTTTCCTGGTTCTTAGTATGATGAGTGATTATCGACCGAAATCTAGACATTTTCCTATGTTCCTTCAGTTTTAGCTGGCTTTCTCTGACTCTACTCCAGCAGTAGAAGAGAATCGGGCTCCATCTCATTACTGCCGGGTGGGGGTAGAAGTCTAGGCTCCCCACTTGGGAATCTGAGGGTGCGCTCTACACTTTGTCTGGAGCTCACTCTTAATGAGGCATCAGTCCTACATTTTTAGAGCATGCAATGGGGGAAGCTGCCCTCTACCAGTGTCCCCTCCCCTGCCTCTCCTCCCCATAGGCACATGTCCAGAGAAGGTCATTCTGATAATATGTATGCAGTTCAGCACATACTTTTATGCTTCCGGGAATTCAGATACCAAGCAGGGAAGGTTTAGTTCAAAGACTTCTAGAAAGAGTTCATATTTTGCTCATTTCAAGAGCATCTCTATGCTTCACAGACAAGGGTGGCATTTATTCCACAGACAACATTGCTGCACTGATCTTCAGGCCCCCGTACTTGGGGTCCCAGACCCACAGGTTGTGGACAATTAGACTGCAAGCTAATGGAACCACACTCTGTGTTTCTACTGCCCTAAAGTTCCAAAGTTGTGAATGGGAACAGTGTTAAGGAAAAGGCTTAGGATTGGCCCATTAAGAAATTAGGAGTCTATCTAAAATGGTACAATTCCATCTGAATTTTAGAGTGCTCATTTTGCTGATAAACTCTAAATCATCCATGAGAAAATGAGGCAGAATAATATCTAGAGGGTTTTTCATTATTCTTTTTACCAAAGAAATCTTCAGATTTGGTTACATAGGTCCCTTAGAGGGAATGCCTAGATGTGAAAATAAATAAAATTCTAGGTCTTTCTGTACAATACTCATTATATCCATTGGGTTTGACCAAGATATTTGTAGAAAGCCCTCTGCAGCACATTATATCTGCCTTGTATTGACCTTTCAACCTAACTGCAGAGATGTATGCCCCAGGGAGCAGATGTCACAGCCCCAGCTACATACACCACTAAAGCCTCTAAGCCAGTGGTTCTGGTCGCACATCAAGATGGTCTGGGGGGCTTGCAGTTCTCTGGAAGCTCAGGACACCTAGTAGCTTGGCTCACTCAGAAACTCAGGGGTGGGACAGGCGACAGGAGTTTTCAAGGTGCTCCAGGTTACTCCAAACATGCTGCCAGGCCAAGCATCCCCCACCTGGACATTGCTGCAGTCCTGCATCCACAAGCACAGCCCACTGGAACTCCTGGATCCACTGGGTCAGAATCACCAAGATGCCCAGGGTCTGGTGCACATTTGGTTTTGAAAAGCACTTCTAGATTGTATGGCTATGAATTCCTGCATAGACACCAAAAGAGTCCTAAAGGGCATGAGTCCCACCCAACAACAGATCTCAGGGGACATCATCCTCATCACTGTAACTGAGCATCAAGAATGATGAGAGGTAAAGGGACCCTCTGAGCCCTCTCATCTGGAACAGAACTTCTAACCTCCTTCACACACTGGTCCTGCTTTCGTGATGTCACAGGCTGTCTCTCCAGTGTGATAAATACTAAGAATGAGAGCATCTGCAGCCACTTGCAGAGGCCCAGCAACAGCAATATCATGACACAGGGCACCTGCTCCACATCATCTTCAGACCAGGAAATGTCCAAGTAGCAGGTGAGTGTCCGGGTCCAGGTCTGTCCTTGTGCTGACCTGTGCTCTTTATATCTTTCCTCCTGAAGCAAGTCAGAGCATAGGACGTAACTGAACAAGTGGCTGTTCATGCAAGAACGAATTTCTCCTTAGTCATTATCAGAACAAAGTTACAGGCCAAGGGCATCCTGACAGGAGGGAGTGGTAAGAAGAGGTGACACCGCCCTGATTTGTGCAGGGGAGAAGGCGGAGGGGCCCCTGATAGCGAGAGAAACTGCCAAGCTCAGGGAGCCGCCCACCATGAGTGTTTGGATAGCTGGGGTCTGATAACACCTCTGTGGTCTTTCTCTGGAACCCGTCTCCATGGTGCCTTTGACCTCTAAAGAAGGAGACTATAAAACCCAGAGGATGATTTTCTCCTCTCAGTCTAGGTGTGGGGAGCACCTCTGTTCTGCAGGAGGGGACTAGCAGCAGGGACGATGGCGGCACTGCAGGAGAAAAAGTCATGCAGCCAGAGGATGGAGGAATTCCAGCGCTACTGCTGGAACCCGGACACGGGGCAGCTTTTGGGCCGGACCCTGTCCCGGTGGGGTACGTGTCCAGCAGAGGGTGCTGTCCTAGTGGGGTATGTGCCGGGCAAGGAAGGGAAAGGAGGGGCCTCTCTGAGGACAGAGGCAGAAGATGGCCCACCAGTGGCTTAGGGCTTAGGGCTGGGTGGTCCAGGATCCCAGAACTCAGGCCTTGCCTGGGCTTCCCACCAGGCCTCACCTCCATCACCAGGTGACCCAATGGCCCATTTCAGCTCTAACATCTCCTGGCACCAGGGACCTGCAAGGTGGGAACATCTGAGGATTGGTCTCCAAGTTTCAGGCTTAGATTTGAGATCAGCAGTTTATAGCCATGTCCCTAAAATACACAATTTTTAAAAAGACTTTGAAGTTAAGGGGTACAGGGTTTCCTTGGAGTGATAAAAATGGTCTGAAACTAGACAGAGGTGATGGTTGCACAAAGTTGCGTGTGAATGTAGTAAATGTCACTGAGCTGTTCACCTTAAATGGTTGAAATGTGTCCTACCATGATTATGAAATGTGTCGGCGGCATCTGACCTGCCTCTCCCTGCAGTGTGGATCAGCCTCTACTACGTGGGCTTCTACGTGGTGATGACCGGAATCTTCGCCCTATGCATTTACTCGCTGATGTGTACGCTTGATCCATATACACCTGACTACCAAGACCAGCTAAAGTCACCAGGTAACAGGGGCATCACCAGGTCCCAAAGCTGCTGGTCAGAACACAAACCCCAGAGTGGGCAGCCCTGCAGGGCACCCAGCAGCCCTGGCTGGGCCTCTGTGCTTCTCCCACCACTGTCCACTGGGCTGTGGATGGCCGTGGATGGCCCCTCGGCTCTTTTTGATGAGGAAGATGACACCAGGTTATAAAGTCTGACTTTGGCTTAAGTTGTAATTATTAAAACAAAAGGCGTTTGTTACAGAGAGTCTTTATATCACTTGTATGCATATATACGCACAGAGGGCATTTCCAAGAAACCGTTCCTGGGGAGATTAGGA